AGTAGACAAGGTCTTTTGTGATTATAGGGTTAAGGAAATGCTTTGTTCTCATGGTAGGGCAGGAAAAAGCAAGGAGATCCCCAAGGATACTGGGATGAAGAACAAATGGTAGAGCTGGGAAGAAGGACCTTTGAGGGGAATCTGCTGGCCTCCAGGACACTGCTCTGTGCCCCAGATGCAATGGACTGCTGGAGGTCAAATGCTTTAGGGTCTATTTAAGGAAGATGGAGGGCACATCAACAAACAGAGTTTCAGAATTCTCACCAGGTCAGAGAGCTCAAGCCATATTTAATTTGAGTTAGTCAGCTAAAGCATGTGATATCACTTGCTCCCAAAATGGCACGAAGCAATTCCCATCTGTTACAGAGAACTAAATTATTCATATAGAAATATAATGTTCTGAAACATTTCAAAAATAATGTCCTTCATTTATTTAAAGACAATATAATACAAATTTAATAATAATCACTTAAAAAGAAGCTAAAGAAACATCTGAAGCTTTTTTGGTAAAAAAAAATCAATAGTAAGTTCATAGTAATTAAATTGGTTATATTTGCAACGCCATTAAAAGCAAAAAAAAAAAAACAGGAACAAAGAGAACCTTATTCATTACAGCAGTTTTTACTAAATTTGATATGAAAGTAGTTTCAAAAATATCTTCTGTATAAATGGTTCTGTACTTCTGAAAGCACTTCAGTAAAAACAGAAATTTGGCCAATGATCTATTTGGTATGATTTAAGTGCCAATTTTCTTTTCCAGTCTTACCTCTCACTAACTCCCGTTATCAACCTTAAGTGTCGGCCATTTACCCCAGGCTTTACTGTTTTCACACTTGGCTAATATGCCAGCCCTGTACCTAGCTGTTCCCTCGTTCGCTTTACTCCCTAATATCAACTCATCAATCCAAATCATATCCTTTCTTCAAGGTCCGGTTCAAGTATCACCTCCTTTAAGAAGTTTTCCTCACTGAGAACAGTTTTGAATCATTCATTTGGATTACAGCTATTTGTACACATCTTGCTTCCTTGTAAAGTTCTTGAAGGCAAGTAACTTGTTCACATCTGTATTCCCCTCAGAGTCAATCTCCCACTAGAATTCAAGTTCCATTAAACAGAAGCCTTGAATATATTCTTCATCACTGTATTCCCCAGCACCTAGCAAAACTAGCACATAGTAGCCAAGTTACAAGTGTATTCTGAGTGAGTGAATGAATGGATTTTAGAACATAACTCCATAAAGGCAGGGATTTATCTGTTTTATTCATTGCAAAATGAATATCTGAATATTACCAGGTGAATAAATTATTTTTTGGAAGGCTTAGGATTCATTACATACAACAAAAACTCTTCAATCTATATGCCTTCCCAGAGGTCAAATGTATGTATGTTGGCTTTCACCCAGCTAATTTGGTGGATGATATATCGTTCTGAAAATAAGACATCCCCCAGAACTGCAAGAGTAAAATTTAAAAGAATCAAAATAAAATGGGTGTTTACATTAAGAGTGAAATTTAAAAGAATCAAAATAAAATGGGTGTTTACATTAGTTTCAGTTTTCTTTATTGTGCTTTTCTGTGTTCTAAATTTTCTGCAATGAAAATGTATTATTTTGTCATCAGACAAAAATAATCAGTACCATTTTTAAAGAATGTCATGGATGAGATCACTTGCAAACATAAGACTGAGGACATTTTGAGAACATTAAAGTGCAATCAATGTTATGGAGTTAATACCAGAGAGAAAAACGCTGGACTGTGAAAATAACTTGAAGAGCTGAAGCCTAATCAGTCTGCCTAAAGACAAACAAACAGACAATAAACAAACACTTCTCAAAGGGGAGATTGATGGCACCAACACTAGGAAAAATAGGCGTCTTGAAGAACATGAATTTATAGCGTTTGTTTAGCACTGTCCTTGGAAGTATGACACCCTTGCTGTGCACTGAATGGTATCCCCCCACCAAATTCATAAGTTGAAGCCATAACCCCCCAATGTGATGGCATTTGGAGATGGGGACTTTAAGAGGTAATTAGATTGGATACGATCATGTGGGTAGAGCCCTCATGGTGCGATTAGCGACTTTATAAGAAGAGACACCAGAGAGCTTGCGAACTCTCTTCCATTCCCATATTTTCACCCCACCATGTGAGGACCCAGCGAGAAGGAGGTTATTAGCATGCTACGAAGAGAGCCCTCATTAGAGCCTGATCATGCTGGCAACTTTCACGTTTGACTTCCAGCCTCCAGAACTGTGAGAAAATAAACATCTGTTGTTTAAGCCACTCAGTCTATGGTATTTTGTTGTAGTAGCCCAAGCAGACTAAGATAGACTAAGCAGACTAACATCGAAACTGTTATGTGGCAGGTAGTTTTCTGATACTGGAAGGGAATCTCCTCACTGACTCAGTTAATAAAAATTTACTAAATGCCCACTGTGCTCCATGCCCTGTGCAAACTGCTGAGGATCCAAAGATGACCAAGATAAGGTTCCCACCCCTCAGGGGTTAATTTAATAGGAGACAAACATACAAACAAACTGCAAAAAGGACTAAAAGTACTATGACAGAAGTATGTATAGGGTACATACACCGTTCTTTCAGGCACCCAGAGGTTAGAGTAATGGTTTCTATCTGTGGTTGGGTGGGTGGAGTCAGTTTGGCTGGCTTGAGTCAACACTCTGTATCAAATTAACTCTGAGTTCACCAGCCAAGTCAAGAGCTGTGACTTACAGTGTGGTGACAAACCTGAGACTTCATGGTGAGCCCTGCAGAGACCAATACTGGACAGAGAGCCATAGAGGTTTGGGTGTAGAGTAGAGGTAAGTAGCTGCATGCTCTGAAAATGGCACAGGCTATGGCAGTGGCTTACTGTGCTCTCCAACGATTTCTACATTCTGTAACTTTCCATTTCTAATTCTTCTTTGGGGCCTTGAGTATTTATAACAACATTCTCATTTACTTATACTAACTGTATCTTGTATTAGTTAAAGAGCATTCAAAGCCTGTTACATGGAGAGGAGCTACTGGTGAACATGGGAACCAGCACTAACTGCAGCACCCTTGGGCCTCACATGCCTTTTGCTAAGTCCTAATCATCCCCCATGTCCTAACCCTAGTCCTACTTTCTCTGGAGGCTGTGTCTAAACTGCACTTCCCCTGGATTGATAAGGTGCTCCTGCTATGAGCTCCCTGGCGCCCCTCGACTTCCTGCATCATGGCACGTATCATACTGTTTTGCAATCTCTTGTTTAATGGCTGCCGTCCTCTATCAGACTGTCAGATCCTTAAAGATGGAAACAGTATTAGTCTCCATGATGTGCCTGGGTCACCAAAGGCTTTCAGTAAGTATTTGTTGGATGAATCTAGTTTCAGAGCTTGTGAAAGGAGAGGATCAGGTGAGCATTAAGTTTACGGTGCTACCACCAAGGTGCACCCGGCCAAGGAAGTTCATCCATCTGAACTTTGGTATACATTAATCCAGTCCAAACTGAGAACATAAACACTAAGGGAATACAGTCCCAGAAAGTAACCAGAGTCAGGCTGACATAAAAATGAAGATTCTATGGCTTCGTAGTATGTTAGCTTAATAAAAATTAAGCTAGTTTTGAACAGAGGTGAATGTCATGGTGGAAGGGGCTGGAACAGTAGTCTAATGATAAGATTATTTCAATATGAGATGTTAGTCTAACAACTAAATGAAGGGTGTATGTACCCTATTCGCACTTCTGTCAGAGCACTTATAGCCCTTTTTACAGTTTGTTCATATGTTTGTCTGCTACTAAATCAGACCCTTAGGTAGTCTAATGACATGTTTATTTAAACATGATTATTCTAACAACTAGGCAGGAGTTGACCTAGAGTAGAGGAACTTAATGGGTGACACACAAAAGCAGAGACGTTCTGTTGATTAAGTGGGATAAAATGTGACTTTTGCAGATAAGCCTTTCTTCTTATCTTCTCTACTAGCATGTTGCAATCCCTGAAATTCCTGCCACAGAAGTCACTCTTTTGGTTAAAGTTACTAACTTTAGATAGTCCTTGTTAACCTGCAAGAATATGCTATTAGGTGATGGCAACACCCAACACAATGGTACTTCTGGCTCTCCAATCTGATCTTCCCATCTCCCAGGATGTGAATGCTTAGTGAGAGACACTTTCTCAGCCTCCTCACAGCAGGGTGTGGGCTTCACTAACATTATGTAAGAGGAGAGATGTGTCCAACTCCACAGCACTTCCTTAAAAATACATTGCTTGCCTTGGACTTTCTTTTTTCCCTCTTCCCGAGGATTAGAAAGGGGACAGACATCTTTAACCTTTGTCCTAAGCTAGGGCATGGCACAGCCTCAAGACAGAAGGACATGGGTCTCTGAGTAGACCGCATGAGCAGAGTAACCCTGTCAGCTGGTTTCATAAGAGGGAAATAAATTTCTCTATTTAAGTATTTCATTTTTCGTTTCTTCATTATAGCAGCTTACCTTACCCTGATTAATATGATATTCATGAGGCTGGTGTAGAGATTGATAGAAACTGAGGAGGGATTGTGTTATGGTATTTTAAAAAAAGAAAAGAGGAGGCAAAACAATTCAAGGCATGAGAGGCTAGGTGACCATGAATCGTGAAACTGTGATGGTAATAGTTAAGTCAGAGCAAGCTGTTGGCTAGCAGAACAGGACACTGAAATTAAATTGTGGTAGTACATTCAAGTGTATATGTCCCTATAAAAATTAAGATATAATGATGAATAAGTGTGTGAAAAAAAAAAAAAGAAGGTAGAGATCAGGTTGGAGATGTAGAACATTACCCCCAACCCCCCCATATGGAAAGGGTAATGGCTAAAAATGCTGTTTAAAGAAATAGCCACACTTGGTTCTAGTACATTTTAAGCTTAAACATTACATATGTCAATATCCATATGGATAAAAGTAGCCTCTGCTAGTTGATAAAAGTAGCCTCCGAGAGCAGCTTTCTGATGACTATCTTCGGCATTCTCTCTTTTCACCTCTAAACCTGTATAGAAGTCTCTTCTTGATCTTCCTCATCCTTATTTTGATGTTCAGCTTTCTGGAGAAGTCTGGGGCCTAGCAAACCAATAAGTAGACTTCCAATTGGGGCTGTGATGAGGATGGCCAAAAATGCCACTGTCAACACATCCATTCCATATCCTTCTAACTGTTTCTCTCCATGTGATCTTGCTGTGTCCAAAGCCACAAATCCAATTGCAGCCTATAAAAGTTTAAAGGTAAAGTTGGAAGCATGATAAGACAAGCACATAGAAAAAAAGTTTAATTATTTTATCATTTGCAAAAACAAATTTCTTGTTCTTCTGCTCAACCGACAAAGTTCTATGAGTCTTCTTTCAAAGTGTACTACAGATGATTTTAATGATCTAAAAGCTCTCCCTGCCCTTGCATAGGGAAAGAATGATGATTCATATATACCTATTTGCATAAGGTAAACTTACAAAAATATCAGACAAATATATGTCAGAACACAAGGCAAATACAGACTTAGGATATTAATTAACTATAACAAGATTCTATATACTAAATTCCTCCTGAGTAAAGTTGAAAGTTACTGAATGGTCATCTCATTCTTTTGTCTTTGGGAATTTAGAATTAAGAAAGGACAAGATGAAAAAATGCAGTGATACTTACTGGAAGATGGTGAAATTTTACATGAAAAAACATAAGAATATTGCTGTAGAGCCTAAGCTAATTGTTGAACATCAAGAAACTTGAAAGTGGTAGGTACCTTCGAAACTTGAAGTTAACCTTATTAGGAATTTGATTAACTCTTTGCCTTAGGAGTTGGTGGAATGTTTTGTTTAAAATTTATCTACTGGGAAGTATTATGAAAACTCTTAGAGAATGCCATATTATCAGTGCACATGGGGAAAATACATGAATCAATCTGGTTATCCTCTTATTGGCACAGAACATAGCAATGAAACAGAAGAGAAAATATCAGTGTGGATGAGACACAGTGGCAGAGACGACTCATTGCCCACAAATATCTGAATGCCTCTTTTCCCTTCTATAATAGAACTGCTGAGTTTAGCTGGTCTCATTGCTGTCCAAATACAGACTTTTTTCCCAGTCTTCTTTGCAACTAGTTGAAGCTATGTATCTAAGTTCTGGCCATTAAGAGGTGAGCAGAAGTGATAAATGCTTCTTGTAACTGTTCCCTGAAAAGAAATGGACACTTGTACCTCATTCTTTCCCCCTTCCCATTGGATGACAAACAGTGAAAAGTTGGACTCATGGATGAAAGGCATACGCTGAGGACAGCAGTTACCTTGCCAGTTCTGGAATTCCCATGCTGCACTGCTGGTTAGAGAGAAATAAAAATCTATCTCATTTAGTCCTCGTGTTTGAGGGCTCTTTGCTATTTCAGATCACCTTGTGCCATAACTAATTCAACATTTCATGAATTCTCAGCAAGAACTGCACACATTATGATGTATATTTCTCTTTCAGCTCTCTGTCACTGTGTATACGTGTATGTGTGTGTACGTTTGGGGGTTTGTATGTTTGCTAAGTTGTCATTTAAAATATATTTCTGGGACTTCCCTGATGGCCTAGTGGTTAAGTATCCGTCTTGCAACTCAGGAGACACCAGTTTGATCTCTGGTCGGGGAACTAAGATCCCACATGCCATGGGGCAACTAAGCCCGTGTACCACAACTAGAGAGAAGCCCACACACGGCAACAAGGAGCCCGCGTGCCGCAATGAAAGATCTCATGTGCCACAACTAAGACCTGACACAGCCAATAAATAAATAAATAAATAAATAAATAAATATTTTTTTTTTAAAAAAAAATATATATATTTCTTATAGTAGGCCATAGACAAAAAAGTTTAAAGAACACTAATATGGAAAAAAATATATAAGAAAGTCTTGTTTCTTGTGCAGTGTCAAAAGAAGAAGAAAAAAGCAAAACAATACTTGCTTTGAGAACATGCATTATTCAAGACATCCTAGATAATTTCTCCTTATTTTAAAATTTGTTTTCATAGCAGGAAAGTGCCGTCTTTCAAGTTTTGATGTTAGAAACAAATCTTTCATACTAAAGCTACTAGAGCGATTATTTTGATATTTACCTACTAAAGTTACTGAAAGTGGTGTGGAGGCTGGAGATACTGTGAGGGAGAAACTGTTCTACTTACTGTGCTCTATTAACCTCACAGCATTCTTAGCCACTATGTCTCAGACACCTTTGAAAGTCTGATGGAAGAAAAACTTCTCTGGAATAATGCCCCAATCCCATAGCCACACAAAATCCGGCATATAGTTACAGAGCAGCACATTGCACCCCTCAAAGCTTCCTAAATTAAGAACATCTAATTTTCATTTCATGAAACAGAAATTTACACATTTAAATAACTGCAAAATAATCAAGGATGAAACAGTTCAATCTTATTTGTTGTAATTAGTTGGAGAATACACAATACAATCAGGGATATATTACATTTGCAACAAATGATGATCTATACAGTTCTAATTTAATGGGCAATTATAGGTATGCTACCGAGTACCTGGTCAACCCTTTCGAGTACCTATTGGTTACTGCTTTGTTTATTAGAGTGCACAAATTTTGGGTCATGTGATTGAGACGTCTGTCAGGAGGTTCAGGTGGTTTGAAAATTTAATATCAACTAATAATCTAGGAAATAAAGCACCTTCTGAGTTATTTCTCAATAAATCTTTCTCTATTAAAGACTGTGGTCAAGCATAACTGATCATCAATCATATAGACATTGAAGTATTTCCAAATACTAAGATGGGCTATGCTATTTCTGTTTCACTCTCTTCTTAGAAGATATTGAAATGAATAGAGTTAATAACTATCTCTTTGAGTTATTTTAGAGAGCTCTGACTGACAAAAGTTCCAACTCTTCCCTCCTGCTACTTACTACTGCTTTCTAGTAGTGTAGGGATTTATTGGATTTTGAGTTGCACCCTGGTGATCTAAGGAAATTTAATGAGCTGTCATATTTAATGAATCAATATACCAAAAATAAAACTTTTAAAGAGTAAATTAGTATAAAATCTTATCATAAATCAAACTTCAATTATTTATTTTCACCAAATTTGAACAAGCCCTCTTATTAAAAATGTCAAGGTATCATATAGAAATAGGAATTAAAATCCATCATTACCTGGACTGTGGCCTTTGGAAGCCATGCAAAAGAAATAAATATCTTTTCCTTAAAGTTAAAACCAGCAAAACACACCATCAGATATGTAGCCAAAATTCGTATCAATACTGCAATGCCCAGGGTGGCAACACAAAGGCCTGTAAGAAATAGTTTTCAGACATAATGAAATACTGGGGGAAAAACTGAATCATATGGTTACTGATTCAGAACTCTTTCAACAGAAGTCTAAAAACGTTCACAAAATTAAAGAGACAAAAATGGCTAGGCATAATTTATCAAAACATCAATATTAAGGATCAATCAGATCACTTGTTTAAAAGAAGGTATTTCCCCTTGATTTTTTTTTTTTAGTAAAATGCGAAAGATTTATTTGCTCTGAGAGAAACCAGAATATTCCCTTAAACTGAAAACAGAAATTAAACGTATTTTAATTTCTACAAAGGAGATTTTAATGTTCTTTTAAGCTTTATAGCAAGAAACACACTTTCTTCCACGGATTTATTTAAGAAGAATTTATTCAATAACTATGCATGGCAGGATCTGGACTAGGTACTAGTATCTAAGAATGTATAATGTACAGACTCTGCTTCTATGAACTTCAAAGACAGAGGAAGACAGAAACATAAAAAACTAATTAATATACTATAAGGTTAGTACAGTATAAACATACTGGTAAGAGGGCACAGAAGAGGAAAAAATTATTATTTTCATCAAAGTGGTTGAGAATTCTTTACAGAGAGTATAAGACCAGAGGTGATATTCAAAATATTTATGAGCCATTATGGAGGCAATCAGCCAATCAAAACAGAGCTCGCTGGGCAGTGACCAATCAGAACAGACAGTGGCAGTCTACAGCTGTTTCATCATACTGGTGTGTACACTGACAGCCCATTAGCCCTGGTTTTCATATACAGCTACTGCATTCAGTCAGCATTTAGAATCCTTTGCTGGTAAAGGTAAGTTCATCCTGAAGTGCAAAATAAAGGATTGTGACTTGGCCGCTGCAGGCTACTGGAATCTGAGAAAGGCACAGCTAAAGTGACTGCTAAGTTACAGGATGATTTTTTTTTTAAAGTAACATCTGTGCCAGGTTCTGTACTAAGCTTTAAGTGCATTACTTTACTTAATCCTTACAACCTGTGCGGTAATTCCTGTCATTTTACAGTTGAAAAAACTGGAGTTCAAAAAGGATAAACAACTTTGTCAAGTGCAAAAGGCTGGGTAAAAGGGATAGACACTGCAGGAGGCTCTACTGTAAATCTGCAATATTTTTTTTTTAAACTTTTTTTTTTTTAAGATGTTGGGGGTAGGAGTTTGTTTATTTATTTATTTATTTTCGCTGTGTTGGGTCTTCGTTTCTGTGCGAGGGCTTTCTCTAGTTGCGGCGAGCGGGGGCCACTCTTCATCGCGGTGCGCGGGCCTCTCACTATCGCGGCCTCTCTTGTTGCGGAGCACAGGCTCCAGACGCGCAGGCTCAGTGAGTTGTGGCTCACGGGCCCAGTTGCTCCGCGGCATGTGGGATCATCCCAGACCAGGGCTCGAACCCGTGTCCCCTGCATTAGCAGGCAGATTCTCAACCACTGCGCCACCAGGGAAGCCCTGCAATATTTTTTTTAACTGAAAAGTTTTGTGGCTTTTTGTTGGAGGATATTTCTCCCAGGTTGGTAGATTTTCAAAAATATTTTTGCTGAAGTACAAGATACAAAAGAGATGATCCCATTCCCAGGAGGGAACGTTGAAGGTTTGGGGAGAAGAGGAAGAGGAAGTTTTAGACACACTGAGTTTTAAGTTTTGTGGGATTTCCAAGTGGTGATGTCCAATCAGCCACTGGATTTATAGATTTAGAGATAAAGATTTTGGAATTACAGAGTTTATAACCGAAGTCACTGAGTGTAGATGAGCTCAAGGAAGTGATAAAAGAGCGAGAAGCATAGAAGGTTTTGGGAAGAACTTTGAGGAGGAGCAGCGCTTAAGCCATACGTACGGTAAAGACTGAAAAGGCACCGGAAAATATGAAATTTCAGACTTCAATGTGAAAGTGTTTTAAAGAGGTCAGTAGTATCAGATGCTGCTGAGAGATCAAGTGCAATAAAGACTGGTAAGTATTCAGTGGATTTAATAATATAACCTTGGTAAGAGCAGGGTTGGTTGTGTGCTGGGGCAGAAGCTAAACTGAAATGTACTGAGGAAAGGAATGAGAACTGAAATAGAAAAGGGGAGTACAGACACCCTTTTGGAAAAGTTTGAAAAGAGCAATAGAGAGATAGAGTGGTAGGTGAGGGGGGAAGTGAAATGGAGGAAGGATATATATATATATATATATATATCTTTCATAAATACATGTGTGTGTATTTATTTAAATTTCGATTGTGATAAAATACACATAAAAAATTACCGTCCTAATCATTTTAAAATGTGCAGTTCAGTAAGCATTAAGTTAAACATTTACATTTTTGTGCAAAAAATATCCAGAATGTTTTCATCTTGTAAAACTGAAACCCTGTACCTATTAGACAACAAATCCCCATCTCCCCTTTCCCAAAACCACTGGCAACCATCATTCTACTCTCTATTTCTATGAATTTGACTCATATAAGTAGAATCACACAGTAGCTGTCTTTTTTTTTTTTTTTGGACCTTGTTAATTTTCTCTATTGTCTTCTACTTTGTTGATTTTTATTTTTTTATTCTTTTTATTGAAATAGAGCTGATTTGCAATGCTGTGCCAATCTTGGCTGTACAGCAAAGTGACTCAGTTATACACAGACAGACATTCTGTTTTTTTATATTCCTTTCCATTATGGTTTATCACAGGATAATGAATATAGTTCCCTGTGCTATACAGTAGCTGTTCACCTACTCTATTTGCAATAGTTTGCATCTGCCAACCCCAAAGTCCCAGGCCCTCCCTCCCCCTTGGCAACCACAAGTCTGTTCTCTATGTATATGAGTCTATTTTTGTTTTATAGATAGGTTCATTTGTGCCATATTTTAGATCCCACATAGTAGTTGTCTTTCTATGATTGGCTTATTTTACTTAGTGTAATGTCTTCCAGGTTCATCCATGTTATAGCATGTATCAGAATAGAAGGATATTATTTTAAGATAGAGATTAAAGTCTGTTTAACTTCTGAAGAGAAGAACACCGTGACAAGGATATTTGAGGATGTATAAGAAAAAGGGAAGAATCTATGTGTAAGATCCAGGAAGAGGTGGCAGGGGATGGGATCCCTAGTATGGACAGAAGAATATTGTGAAGCAAGGAAAGGAGGAAATAATGAGTATACGTGTGTAAATTGATTTTTAAGTGAAGTGCTATGAATTAAGAGAGTTTTAACATAATGGCTTTCAAATGTGTGAATGAATAAAAGAATGAATGAACAAACATTTTTATTCTATGGGTACCTATTATAGAACTCACTAGTTATCTTTAAAATTCTGGCCCTTGATCAGGGTAAGGCTAGATGAACATTTTTATCCTTGGAAAAACACTTTAAGGCCTGCATTTTTTTGATGGCAGTCAGCAGTGTCACTTTTCTTTACAAGGAACAATATTTAAAGGTATAAAATTTACTGTCTTAGATTGAAAAACATTATTTTCTAACGAACTGCTCTAAAAGACTTAGCTCGTTACTTTTTTATATAATTGTGACAATGGGAACCACTGAACACATACCTACTAAAGATATTTCAACTGAATATAAGAAGAGTTGATTTTAGCAAAATTCTTACCGACAGTTTCTGGTCTGAGAGCTGTAATGGATACCTCTGCTCCAATCAGTCCAAAGAGAAGGGGTTGAAAGATGAACCAGGCAACTGCTATAACCTTTTCAACATCTGCCTAAAAGGAACACACACACACACACACACACACACACACACACACACACAAACACAGACTTTCATTATATGAATTTAGAAGTTCTAAGAATTTTACCAATTTGAAATTTGAGTCAATTTGACCTGAGATAGCCTTTACCTCTGTAGCATCTATAAATAAGTAGTTAGCTAGAAGAGAGCAAAAAATTGCGCAAAGACATTTCTAACACAATTAAGATATATGAGGTACTTTAGTGTTGGTTTACAAGTAAATGTTAATTATAAAGAGTTTTACAAAGTAATCTTAGGACTTCTGCTTCTGAATACACAATCTGTGTGTGTGTGTATTATAATGAATAATATATTAATTATATTATTATTACATTATTGCATAGTTTAAAATTTTAATTTTCATTCAACAATATGATTTCAAGACCTTATATCATTGCATATATCTAGATATTCACCTCATAATTGCTGCATAGTAATCTGTGGTATGGAAGTACCATAGTTTATTCAATCATTTCTTTATCAATAGGCCTTTAAGTTGTTTCCAATCTTTTCTTTATAAAAAAATACTGTTTGTGGATATCTCAAATCATGCACAAAGATAAAATCCAGGTATAACAAAGTGCTGTGCCAGTTATTAATTTATTGCCCTTTGGCTGCAAATCTGCCTTTCCTTGTTTCTCTGCAGAAAATGGAGCTGGGCCCTTTAAACATTTCACCTTTGCCAGCTGGTACTATATTAAGTATTGTCAGTAGAAGGTGCTAAAATATATTGCAAGAGAAGGAACTCTTCCTGGTTTCTGTGGCTCTTCCCAGCAAGATCTTCCAGCACAAGGCTCCTGCAGTCCAGGTGGCTTCTCCAGTGCCAGGCTCTTGCAGTGCACGGTGCCAGCAGCTTTCCCCAGCCTACACCTGGGGTGGTTTCGTAGCCACCTCCCTTGGGCCATATACCTCCCCATGCACCCTAGAGGGTGGATTTCCTGTAAGTTTGGAGAGTAGATTTCTAGTAAATTTTGTAGGTAGGGCACCATGGTGATTTCTGTGTCACCCAGTGAACCAAGGCTCTGACAAGGTCTGGATTCTCAGCCCTGGGGGAGGGAGTAGTGAGGTGAGGAGGAGAGGTGGAAGGGGGCGCTTTATCTCAGCCCTAGCAGTTTATAGCTGCTATTCCTATATTATTTAGGGGTCTCTTTACATCTCACAAGCCAATCCCTTGTTAACTGATCCCCAGGATGGTTAATAATAAACTTCCCTATTCCAGTTACTATGTGATTTCTCTTTCCTTAGAAGACCCTATTTGATATAAGCATAACTTTATAACCCATAATGCAAACATCCTAGGAAAAGACTGACACAATTGACCATGCAAAACTAAAACGTCTGTGGCAAAATAAACCATAAAAAAGACAGTGACAAACCAGGAGAAAATAACTGTGCTATGTGAAACAGAATAAAGAACAATGTCCAATCAATAAGAAAAAGATAGAGACCCTAGTAGAAAAATGGGCAATGCATATGCACAAGTAATTGTACAAGAAGAAACACAAATGGCCAAAAACCCTGAGACACTAAAACTCAGTAATTAGAGAAACACAAATTAAAATGATATACCATATTTTGGGGGGAGCGGGTAATCACATTGAAAAAAAAAATCACTAAAAAAGTTTTAACAATGTAAAGTATTTGTAAGATTGTAAGCAAGCTGAATAATTGGTAGGAGAGCAAACTGACAACGCTTTTTTGGAGGGCAATTTAGCAGTACCCAGTACAGTACCTAAGAATTTACATTTAACAGATTTTTTCAATCAACATTAAGAATCTTTATTTTGGGGGACTTCCCTGGTGGCACAGGGTTAAGAATCCGCCTGCCAATGCAGGGGACATGGGTTCTGGGACTCTGGTCCGGGAAGATCCCACATGCCGCAGAGCAACTAAGCCCGTGTGCCACTACTGTGCCCGTGAGCCACAACTACTGAGCCCATGTGCCACAACTACTGAAGCCCGCGTGTCTAGAGCCCATGCTCCACGACAAAGAGAAGCCACCACAGTGAGAAGCCTGCACACTGCAAAGAGGAGTAGCCCCAGCTCGCTGCAACTAGAGAATAGCCCGCACACAGCGACGAAGACCCAACGCAGCCAATAAATAAATACTTTTTTTTTTAAATCTATATTTTTGGACCACATTTTTACCCTTACAATTACATGTTCTTAAGGATATGCACTTCCATTTATGTATGGAACTCTGACAAAGGAGGATTACATTGTTTCTCTATTTTCTTCAGTTATTATTTCTGATATGTTTATTAGGGTGAAGATTCTATTTCTTCTTAGCTTATAAAGACAGCATCTGTGAGGGGATTCGTTGATTTATTTATATAGTTCTATTCCTCTATCATGAAAAAACAGTTATGTTTCTACATCATAAGGAATCAGATGATGAATGAGGTTCAAATTCTGCCACCCACTAACTGTAAGCCGCTTGCCCTTAGCACCTCATTTTTCTCATCTGTAAAATGAGAGGTCTATATTAGAAAACATCCAAGATCTTTTATCATTTAATGACAATGACTAGTTCTGCCCCAACAGGTCCAGCTGCCACCCTTCCACATATCTTTAAATTTTACTTTTGAATTTAATTTTTAGAGTATATCATAGCTAAAACTAAGACTTTGATACTCACAGTTGTAAAGAACAAAATTCAACTATATTAACTTTAGGTTACTTAGCCTTTTGTTGCCAGGACTAATTGTTTAAGGAAGGTCCTCAAAGATATTTCATGTATTCAGAACTCCAATGAGAGCAGAAGCCCTAAAGAGTTTTCTCTATCAAATTATTTTTACTTCTAAACTGTAGACTAAAGCCATGATTTGTATTTTGACTGTAACATTTTAGAGTAATTGAACATCAGATATAGGCCTACATATTATATAATTTAAGAAAGGGAGAAGAGTCACAATGTATCTTCTTGTGCCTTTTCCATAACTTCAAAAACAAAATGAATTTGTTTATAAAGAAAATGGAGGCCTTCCCTGGTGGCGCAGTGGTTGAGAGTCCGCCTGCCCATGCAGGGGACACGGGTTCGTGCCCCGGTCCAGGAGGATCCCACGTGCCGCGGAGCGGCTGGGCCCGTGAGCCATGGCTGCTGGGCCTGCGCGTCCGAAGCCTGTGCTCTGCGACGGGGGAGGCCACAGCAGTGAGAGGCCCGCGTACCGCAAAAAAAAAAAGAAAAAAGAAAAAAGAAAAAAAGAAAATGGAGCCATAGAATAAGCTAAGTATACAAGAAGATGAGCCAAGGGGAATGAAGACTGTGTTGTCCATTGAAAGTTAAGGCCACTTTGTACATCTCTATGCATCAATGGTAAGAATCTTCAAAAATATAAATCACTTTCAAGGGTGGACAAAAGGAGAAAGTTAAGAGAAATGAAGGTTTCATCATGGGTTAAATATCTATGTAAATGGACGCTTCTCAGACAGAAGAACAATTCAAGATTCAGAAGATCCAAAATATAACAGAAAACAAAATCCCATAACTATAAAGGTCATCTAGAAGCACTGAATTTGAAAATAGATGAAAAAATAGATGACAGGCTTAAAAAAGGTGAGTGCATTTGAATAAAATAAAACAAATGGCAAGATTAATGATTATATGGAAAACCAAGCAGAAAAGTAAGAAATAACATCAGAAACTACAGGCACAAATGAATTTTATAAAATAATTTAGCTTTTCAAAGTATAACAACAGTATTACTGTAGCACTATTAAGTTTATAAGTGCTTCATTTCCATTTCCCCAAACAACAGCCACAGTTCTTTAGATGTTATTATTAGTCTCTTCATATTACAGTTGAGAAAACTGAGTATTAGAGAAGGTAGGTGACATTTTTGGGATTATACAGCTTGAAGCAGGATTGGAATCCCAGTCCCCATAACTTAAATTTTATGTTCTTTTTATAATGTTGTGCTGCTCTGGAGAGTGCCTGCCACATAATTGATTCAATGAAGATTCTTTTGCTTTCCTTTCTTTAGGGAACCAGTTTGATGTATTCAAATTGTGTGTTCTCATCCTGACTCTGCCACTTACTGGCTTTGTGACTTTAGGCAGTCTATCTAGTATCCCTAAGCCTTGGTGTCCTCATTTGTAAAATGGTCTGATATCTACCTTTCAAGGTTATTGTAGAGAATACATGAGATGGCGTATGTCAAACTTTACAAGAAAGACATCTTTAAGGAAAAAAAAACTATTGAGGAAAGGTCCTAATAAGAGATTCATAGATCTGATCACATGAAAGTATATGATATTTGAGTGTAAAAAATGAACAATATAAAAAGGCACAAAAATCTAACTTCATATGTATAGATGTATGTATACACCACCAGGTGGTTCTGATGCATTCTCAAGTTTGAGAAACACTATTCTAGGCTGATGAGGGTGTAATGAGATAGGTACTTCATATATTACAGTGGAAAAGTAAATGGATGCAACTCTAGAAAGCCGTTTGGTAATGCATGTCAAAAACCTCAAAATGTTCATATTATTTGACCCCAAAATTTCACTGTTAGAAATCTGGCCTAAGGAACTGATCAGAAATTGAATTTCAGCATAATTAAAAATAGCAGAGACTAGAAATCACCTAAATATTTAACTATAAGGAAATGGTTTAAAAAAATTATGGGGCATCCCTATGTGTGTGTGTATGTGTGAGTATGTGTGTTGTGTTTTGTGTGTGTGTGTGTGTGTGTGTGTGTAAATAAAGAGATATACACAGAAGAGTAACCAGAGGTAAATATGAAAACAAGGTACCTAGTTCTTTCTCTGGGTTGTGGATTATATTGACCTTCTATGTAATCAACCAGGCTGCAGGTAATTCAGGCAAAGTTATGACAAATGCATTCAAACAGATGCTTTGTTTCGGCTTTAACAATATTTTCTATATAACCCACACTATAGTCTAGAGAATAGCGCAACTGAAACTCATCAAAGTTTCCCTTTCCCTCTTTGTCCTTCTATGTCCACAGCTAGTGACCACTTGTAGTAGGGATCAGTCTCCCCTTTGATTTCCCGGTAGCTAAAACTATTGCCCTATTCCAAATGACATGACTCTTTTTTGTCGTTTTTTAAAATCCCATCATTTATGAACTTAAATTTCAAAGTGTAGAAGCATAACGTTTTTAATATATGTGATATGTGTTATTCAAATAGATGTCAAAATATAGAAATGTGTCCTGTGTAATAAGGCTACAGTTGTATCATAAGGGTAGTACCAGTCGCTTTGGAGTCAAACCTGGGCTTAAATCCCAGGGCCACTTTTTAAATTTTGTGACCTTGGACATGTTTTAGAACATGTTAAGTTCTTCTGATTTACGGTCTCTATAAAATGGAAATGGTAGGGCTTCCCTGGTGGCGCAGTGGTTGAGAGTCCACCTGCCGATGCAGGGGACACGGGTTTTATGCCCCGGTCTGGGAAGATCCCATATGCTGTGGAGCGGCTGGGTCCGTGAGCCATGGCCGCTGAGCCTGCGCGTCCGGAGCCTGTGCCCCGCAATGGAAGAGGCCACAACAGCGAAGCCCGCGTACAGCAAAAAAAAAAAAAAAAAATGGAAATGGTAATACTTTTTCAAAGTTTCTTTTGTGAAAATAAGTGAGAATACTCACTTAGTGCCTTGTATAAGGCCTTACAGAGTGGCAATAACATTTATTAGTTCCTTTCCCTCCTTTTACCCATGACAGGATAATATGAGCTTGCTGTTAATTTTTGAAAATTTTTAAGAGGTGACAACAGATAGCATTTTCCAGTAAAATTCAATTTGAAGAAACTTACTATAAGTGTATTTGAAATTTTTCCTTTTGAATAAATGAACGGAAATAAGCCAAAATATTTAAATAGTTTACAGAGCTGTTGGCTTTAGGTAGAGGGATTGTAAACGATTTTTTCTTTCCTTTGCTTTCTGACTTTTTTTATTTCCCAACATTTTAAAATGAGCGTACAGTACTTTCATACTCAGGAACAAAACTAATTTTATTTAAAAATTATTCTCTTTAGTAATTTATTTCTTTTAATGCTGACAAATGTTTACAATTAAGAAGTTATGGGACAGATTCCAGTCTCAGTCACTATTTGGCTGCAACCTCATGAGCAACTCCAAGTAAGCATCACCCACCTGAGCCAAGTCTATCCACAGAAATGCAAGACAAATTAAAACAAAACAAAATTGTTGTTTTAAGCCATTAAATGTTGAGGTAATTTGTAACCCAGCAACTGATAACTGAAATAAAAAATATTTACAACAGCAAAAAAGAAACCAAACAATATACAAAAAAAAAGAAGTTAAGGGACAGTTTGTAGAATGCTAATGGCTGGCAAACTTCCCAGGTGTCGGATAAGGGGTCACAATGCAACTTTAGCTGCATCCCTTTACTGAGTGAAAACTGTGTTCTTGGTCCTGGGGCAAAGGAGTAGATCAGAGTGCTTCAAGGAGCAGGTGTATTAGTCCGCAGCCCAGATTAGGGTGGAAGACAGATAGTGGTGAGTCCTCAGAGAGAAGCAAGGAGGCAGCACAGCCCTTTGTCCCAAGCTGAGATTGGACAGAAGACTGCCCACGATATGGGACAACCCTGCCTCAGCCCTCAAGAAAAGGGAAGCCACGGAAAAACAAATGTTTGATAAAAGCAAAGGCTTATGAGAGATGAGGGATGACAGGAGCACCCGATTTATACGAGGAAGTTTGTTTACTTTTTAGCTTTGTTCTTGTTCGATGTTATATGAAATCAGAAAGTAGAACTGAATAATATAGGTGCTGCTGAAAAGAGAAAAAGTAGACCACCTGAAAGCCTTACAGCCAAGCCTCTGACAGGGCAACATACCTAGGTGCCCATCTAGTGTCTAGAGCAGGGTTTCAAAGGGACTCTCTCCTTTTCCTCGAAGTCCAATCCATCTCAGCACACTTTCTTGTGGCCTCAGTACCCTTGTTCACACAAGGCTCCAGGAGCCCCTTCCAATCCTTCCCTCCTCTAAAGCAAGATGATTCACACTTATACTTGTCCTAATTTTATAATCACACTGTTAGAGAATGGAAGCCTCCTATCTGCATGCTATTTACCCACAAGGAAATTCTATCTCTAGTATATCTCTGCACAGATTCCCATAATTGAATATGATTATTTATCTAATCTTAAGATTTAGAACCTTCACATGTTTCCATATGGCATTATATTAAGCTTAATTATTTTGAGCAGTTGTCTTTAGGTTTTCCAAAAGGATATATCTGCATTTAGTTTAGGTCACATACATCTAATTTCTTTATTAAACAGAATAGCACATGATCCTGTCAAGTTCAAATCTACAAAAATGTATTTTAAAATTAAAATAAATAAATGGCAATCAGCTGATTTCCATAATACGTATTAAGAAAACAGATAACCTTAATGATCTTGAAACCTGGTAAGGAAAACCAAAACAATCTTATAAAAAATAGGCACAAGCTTTTGAATACACTGGCAAGTAAACATATGAAAAGATGATTAGTTTCACTCATAAAGAAATGCCAACAGATCAGCAATGAGATACATTTTTCACCCATCAGATTAGCACAATATCTGAAGACTGAAAATAGATCAGAGAAGCAGATTCTCTCACATACTGTTGGTGAGAATGTTCATTGGTACAGTCTTTTAAAAGGGCAAATTGATATTATGAAAAGTATCAGTGTGCACAGTCTTTCAAAGAGCAATCCTATTTCTAGAAATGTATCCTATAGATAAACTCAATAATGTGCTATAACTTATTAAATTTTTTCTCATTTTAGTATTTCTGAAATTAGGATATCAGTTTAATTGGCAGCATTCTTTTTCTTTCTTGATAGCATGTAAAATAATAATAAGACTGGATAGTGCCTTAGAGTTTACTGAATATAGTATATGTAAGGGCATTTTATTGAAGCGCTTTTCATCTTAGCAAACTAGAAACAATCTAATGTCTGTTAGTAGGAGACTGATTAAATAGAATATAGCACAGCTATACAATGCAGTACTCTGCAGCCCTTACAAAGGATAAGGAAGGCAGCATGGAAATAGAACCATGGTATGTTTTAAGTAAGTAAATATGTTTTTTTTTTCCTACTTAAAGATGTAGTTTTTGTTTGTTTGTTTTGGTTTTTTTGTTTTTGGTTTGAGGTACGCGGTCCTCTCACTGTTGTGGCCTCTCCCATTGTGGAGCACAGGCTCTGGATGCGCAGGCTCAGCGGCCATGGCTCACGCGCCCAGCCTCTCTGCGGCATGTGGGATCTTCCCGGACGGGGGCGCGAACCTGTGTCTCCTGCATCGGCAGGCGGACTCTCAACCACTGCACCACCAGGGAAGCCCAGTAAATATGTTTTAAGTAAAGACCTTAAGTTCTGGATTCATATGTAAGGGGAAAAGGATGTGCGTGTCTGAACTTGGACATACATTTACAAATGTATAGAAAATAGCTTTTATGATTAAATAATTTCATTAATTTGATGTTAAGAAAGTATCTGGAAAGAAAAAATTAAGCTGATCAGAAAGTGATCATGAGCGGAAGAACTTAAAATGAATTCACCTTTGCGCTGGCCCATCCCTTGCCTGCAAGGAAAGCCAGGACCAGCGTGCACAGTCCTCCTGCCCCAGGGAAACCAAAATACATGCTGCTGAACACAGCCAGCACAGACAGCCCCAAGACCAGGAATGCTCTCTTCCACACGAGCTTGTCCTAGAGGAGGAGAGAGGTTGGTTAGCTCAATTATTTCATATAACTGATTTCTAACTATTGGTTTTTCCATATTCAGGACTTAGTAGAAAATTAAAAAACGTCTGTGTCTGAGCATATAAATGCATGACAGAACATTTCCTTTCTTTTCCTTAGTAAAAGTAGAGTTAGCACATGTACAAATGTTAGGTGCCTCTCCCAGGAATACCAGTTATCCTTCTCTGCAGTTATCAAAGCAGAATTTCACAGGGCTAAATGCAACAGCAGAGAAAAGCACATAGGCTTTGGGGACAGAGAGACCAGGGATAAAATTTCAGCTTTTACACCACTGACATATGTAGTTGGCCATATTACTTAAACTCTTCAAGTCTTCTTTCCTCGTTCCCTAAAGCAGTTACATCACAGGGATTCTGTGAAGGCTAAAGATATGATGTCTCTATTATTTTTAGGTTCTCTGTTCACTCTTCAATTTGATACTCTCCTGGTTTTTCTTTCTAAATCCTTGAATACCAAGAAGCTTTAAGAGGCTGTACACAGAGTAGTTTTTCGTTGTTGATTGTTTTTCAACTTTTTATTCTATATCGGAGTATAGCTGATTAACCAACGTTGTGGTAGTTTCAGGCGCACAGCAAAGCGACCCAGCCATACACAGACATGTCTCCATTCTCCCCCAAACTCCCTTCCCTTCCAGGCTGCCATATAACACTGAGCAGAGTTCCCTGTGCTACACAGTAGGTCCTTGTTGTTGATTTTTAAAGTCTCAGAAATGTGTACCTCTTTCCTTTCACTTTTCCCTGTTTGGCCTTTTAAACTTCTTGATTGCTTTAGAAGGCAGGCAGGCTTTTTAGAAGTGCTTGGCTTGGAGGCCTGCAGGCTCTGGCGGTGGGTTACCTGAGTTCATTCCCAGCTCCACTGCTTTCTAGCTATGCGACTTTGTTTAAATCATTTCTCCCTAAGCCTCAATTTCCTCATCAGTAAAATGCTCATATTAATTAGCAGTACTCTTTTCATGAGTTACTGTATGGAGTGCACTAGATCAGCACTTTCCAACAGAACATTCAGTGACGACAGAAGTTTCTGTATCTGCATTGTCTACGGTAGTGTTCTATATCTGCGATGGCCACATGTAGCTAGTGGCTGCTATATTGAACTAGTGGCACTTTATTGTACATACCACATCATTTTATACACGGTAAACAACAAAATGTAAGCTATCATTTTTCTCTTTACTTTGCTGTGTAATTAGAAAATCCTGTAGCTTTCTATTATGCATTCATAAAATCTACAATCTACAATTGAATCTTTTTGCGCACAGTAAAAATTCAAACCAACATACATTCAAGTAATGTTAATGATGTTCTTACGTACAGTTCTACTTTAGTTAAGTTTCTAATTCCATTCAAAATGCTCTGAAATCTCAAAATAATGCCAGTTCTTCTAGGAAGAAAAAGACTTTTATATGTTCATCTAAGAGACGAGGTGGGTAAAGGAAAACAAAACCTTTGTTTATTAAGAAATCACTGTGTACAGTAAAGGACTTTGTTATCTTTGGTGAGAAATGTTGAACTATATGATATGAGATGATAAGGTCTGTCTATTTGATAGTATTAGAATCTAAGGTATTTTGGGACTTCCCTGGAGGTCCCGTGGTTAAGACTTCGCCTTCCAATGCAGGGGATGTAGGTTCAATCCCTGGTCGGGCAGCTAAGATCCCACATGCCTCGTGGCCAAAAAACATAAAACAGAAGCAATATTGTAACAAATTCAATAACGACTTTAAAAAAAATGGTCCACATCAAAAAAAATCTTTAAAAAAAAGAGAAAAAGAATCTAAGGTATTTTGATACTAACAAAAGAGGCCTCCAAAGCCATTTTATATCTTGATTTAGTTGAGTATTGAGTAATAATAAAATTAAAATAAATAAAAATATTAAAATTAAGATAAATAAAAAGACATATTGTATTATTTTAGAATTGATGTTATTTGTTTTACAGTGAAGTTTGAAGTATACAGAATATAAATTAGAGAAAAAAATTCCAGGACTGCATTAAAAGTCTTATACATCCAGCCCTCTTCATACATCTCATGGACAGCACTAATATTGCAATGAGCAGTTTTAAAATGGGGGGCCATTTTCTAAATCACATAATTCACATCAGCTTTCAGGGGAGTGTTCTAGAATGCTCCTCCAATGACATGTTAGAGCACGACTTACCCACAGATAATTTCTTTTACCTGGTCACTGCTTGGAAAATACTGAATAAAAAATCCAAGAAGCAATCCAGCTGCCATACCAACTACCACCTCCAAAACTCCTTTGAGGACATTAAAAACTGTGGAGCCTTAAAAAAAAACATAAAAAGAAAAACTTGAGACAGAATTCTAAATCCATAAATGCACAGACGTTAATCATTAACATAAGGAGTCTAATTATATAGAAGGAAAAATGTACAGATCTTTCCTGCTTTCCATATTCTTAAAATGTCTAATAAAATGGGCCTCCATCAAGAAAGGTATGCATATTATTGGAGATAAATTTAAAAATAGGCATGAGCTATGATCTGTGTACTTTTTTCTATGTTTACTTCAGAATAAATTTACATAATTTATTATTTACTAAGAAAATATGAAAGATAAAATTCATAAATCAGGTCTGATTTGTTCTACTGTATTATATGCATAGGCTGGGTGAGCAGACAGATCTAGTACTCAAACTGCCATTTAAGAGCCTGATTTTTTAATAATAAATTCATATTGATTTCAGTAGCTCTAATATATACAGAATACAGTAACTTAAGAATTTGGCAATAAAAGTAAAATCTTTTCTTACTACAATGAACGTAGGGGACTTACTCCTTCTCAAATGTTATTTCTAAGATTAAATCTGAAAATAAATTATTTTTGAAATTGCTCTTGGAAGAGTCTTTATTTGTTGCTTAGCTTCTTTGAAATATCACAATATAGAGGTCAGTAAACTCTGTTTTCCCCCATAGCAAACAGGATTTAGGAAACTTTAATTAAAAAAAATCTTTGCTAGCACATTGTGCAGAAAATTATATTAATATTGCTCAATATATAAAGCCGTCCTCAAACTGTTCTAAGAAAATATATACTAACCAGTTATGTGGTTTCTTGTTATTATAATTTCGGGTACAGCATATGCCACCCCCAAGGCATGCCACTTTGGCATAAGGATTATTTTGAGCTGAAGGCAATTGAGAAGAAACATATACAAGATAAGCTCTCTGCCATCTCCCTATTTGCTTTTTTTTTTTTTTTTTTTTTTTTTTTTTTTTCTTGCGTTATGCGGGCCTCTCACTGTTGTGGCCTCTCCCATCCGCGGAGCACAGGCTCCAGACGCGCAGGCTCAGCGGCCATGGCCCACGGGCCCACGGGCCCAGCCGCTCCGCGGCATGCGGGATCCTCCCGAAACGGGGCACGAACCCGCGTCTCCTGCATCGGCAGGCGGACTCTCAAGCACTGCGCCACCACGGAAGCCCTCCCTATTTGCTTTTAAAAGAAGGACATAAATTTGTAAAGCTGTCGCTCTCCCCTCTCCATCAGGAATGACAGAAGTTAACCACTGAGGCAACGTGGAACCCCAATCAGCCCAGGGACAGCACCAGAGGAATCTACATAACCAAGTGCTGAAACCAGCCCTCACCTAACAATAGTTTGCTCATATATCTGCCTTTCCACAATTTGTTGCCTCTACAAGCTCAAAGTCCTTTTCCTTTGTCTTGCACTTCTCTACAAAATCATTGTTCTCCGCTAAGATGCTTTATAAGCCCCAATTCTAACCGCCCCTTGAGTTACTCACCACTGCGTACTCCAGTGTGTAAGCACGACGCACGCACGTGCTAGTAAACCTTTTCTCTTGTTAAGCTGTCTTTGGTCAGTCTGATTTACAGGGTCCCAGCCAATGAACCTAAGGTGGGTAGAGGCGAAATAGCTTTTCCTCCCCTACGGTTTCCATCATCTCTCTTATTTAAAAGAATAATTACCTCTGTAGTAATTTTACTTAGCTAGGATAGCTCTGTTAGGTAATGGTGGGACTGTCAAAAGCATCTAGCTGTGATAGTAGCCTATGTCTTGAGCTAATATGGTAAATAATTTACTATAAATGTGTAGAAAGGAGCCAATTAGTTTCCGTCTCTGATATAGTAAGGTCGTTTTTTTTAAAAAAAGACTTCTTGGGCACTACCTCTGAAAATTCTGATTCAGTAAATCTGGCAGGGCTTGGGATCCACATTTTAAAGAAGCTCCAGGGGCTTCCCTGGTGGCGCAGTGGTTGGGAGTCCGCCTGCCGATGCAGGGGACGCGGTTCGTGCCCTGATCCGGGAAGATCCCACATGCCGCGGAGCGTGGCCGCTGAGCCTGCGCGTCCGGAGCCTGCGCGTCCGGAGCCTGTGCTCCACAACGGGAGAGGTCGCAGCAGTGAGAGGCCCGCGTACCGCAAAAAAAAAAAAAAAAAAAAAAAAAAAAAA